ATAATAATAATGAACCACAACTTATACAAACACCACCTGTTGAACCTGATCTAATCAATACTGAATCTCAACAACGTACTCAACGATTAACAAAAGAAGAAAAACATAAAATACATAATCGTGCATGCACTCTTAAACAACGTAAACGATATTATCAACATGAAATTAAATGCCGAAATATTGATAAACGATTTACTATTCGAAATATAAAAGACATTCTTCGACAACATCGAATTTCATTTACAGCTATTAATTTCTCAACATCATCTACTACTCATGAACGTACATTACATATTGGTATAAAGGATATATCAAAAGTAGAAACATATGAAGTTCAAATTAAAACTTTATTTACCAGTGAACATTATCAACAAATTAAATATAAAGTTCATCATCGTGCAAGTCGTCATTGTCGGGAAAATAATTATTATCGTCGTCGTGCATCAAGTAATCGTAAATAAATAAATCAATTTGGCATGTGCAGCACTTGTTGGTCGAGCCGGTGCAGTTGAACAGAAAAAAGAAACTAAAAAAGAAAAATAAATAAATAAGAAACATTGTTTTTTTTTATATCGTTATATTTTGTTGACGTTACTTGTTATATTGTTCGTTATACCTTTCTTTAAAAAACAAACATTTTTTTCATTTACGTTTATATTTTGTTTGATTTTTTTTTGTTGTTGTTATTCTCGTACATCTAAAACAAAAAAGATGGTTATGATTGTTTACTTTGTTATTTCATTTATTGTTATGTTATTTATCGTTATTAGTCCTCTCTGGGAAAAAATGTTGATAGGACACATTTTTTTGTCCAATATGGGAGTATGTTACAGTGTTGTCGCACTGATACAACTGCCATCTATTTTCATTTATATTATTTTCTTTTTATTTCGTTTTCATTTCTTTCTCGGTGACATATCTAGTCTTCTCTTGTGTTATCCATACATCTAGTACCTGTTCTCTTTCTTTTCTTTTCTCTCTCTCTCTCTCTTCTTTTTTCTTTTTGTCGCTCACTATATATGTACGTGTTTTCCATCATTTAAAACAGAATAAAATAAGATATAAATAAAAGACGGTGTGCAAGTGTACGTATACACACACACACACATACATATTTTTTCCATTAAAGAAAACGAACTTAGCGTTGATCCAAAAGGACAACCGCTAACATTTGGCGACCCTGGACAAAAACGAATATTCACAACGACAACAATTTATTTTTAAATTTTATTTCAATTATAAAATTCATCAAAACAATAAAGAGCCTCTAAAATTTTTTTAAAAAAAAAAAAAAAAAGAGACTCGAGAATCAATTGTATAAGAGCTTCAACATATAGATTTGGGTGAATAAATTTTTTTTCATTAAATATTAATTTAACTATTAGGGATACTTTTCAGTAAACCGTTCTTATATTTTCAAACATATAAATTAGAATACATTTCGTAGGGAATTTTTTTGGTTTTTTTACAAATTCAAACACATATATATATATACATATAAAAAAAAAGAAAAAAAAAAATACATATATATATATAAAAGAGCAATGATCAATATAAATGGAGATATTGACATAGAATTTCGTCACTTTATTTTATACAAATAAACTATAATTAGAAATTCTACACAAAAAAAAAAAAAAAGAATTTCGTTCATTCTTCTTCAAATACGTACACCAATATATTCAGAAATTCTGCAAAAAAGAATTTCGTTCATTTGTCTTCGATTATATATATATACACCAGTACAATCAGCAATTCTAAAAAAAAAAAAAAAGAAGAATTAAATGCAAATATCAATAAAGAGATTCTAAATAAAGAATTTCGTAAATCTATATGCATATTGTTACGTTGATAATCGTAATTTAAATTTTATCAATCACGGCGACCGGTACAAGATTACAGATCAAGAAGAATAAACAGAAACTATTGCTATACGATCTTATCACACACTCATCATTACAAAAAAGATCGAAAATTAATTCAATATCTCAAACGAAAATCAATATAATGGCTGATCCAACATTATTAGCAAAAGCTCGCAAAACACGATTTGATGATCTACCGAATTTTTCTGGACATCCTTCTGAGGATGTCGAACGATTTTTAAAAAGTATTAAGAACATAACCAAAGCAACTGATGAATCAACTAATCATGAAATTCTGGAAATAGTACGTGGCAAATTAACTCAATCAGCAGGAATATGGTTCGATAACAATGAAACTAATTTCCACAAATGGTCAGATTTCGAAACGGCATTTCGAAATCGATATTTTTCTTCAACATCAATACACAGGAAATTTGATACATTAAAGCAACGAAAACAATTACCAGATGAATCAATTACGTCTTACTGCGATGATATTATTAATTTATGCAAGGAAATTGATTCCAATATGTCGGAAAAAATTATCATTCAATATTTAATGAGTGGAATCAATCCTGATTTTAGGAAAGAATTATCAAGACGTGAATCATCTATTCATACATTAAATGAATTTTTAAAATACGCAAAAATTGAACAAGATTTATATGATACATTTCGTAATTTATCGATTGATTCACAACAATTTGATTTCAATTTCAATCGTCCACCAATTCCATCATTAACTGCCACAGTCAATCCACAAAAACAATATCATTATAAAATAAAATACAACAATCCCATTTCACGTTCAACACACTTTCAGAGCTCCGTTTCTCGACGGAACTCGGATCCAACATGGGAAAATCGAACATCAACAATACCTAATACAAAACAAATTCGGACTTATTCATCACAATCAGTATTAAAGCAGAAACCAATCAACACACAACCAACATCAAACCATCAATTCAACAATTGTAAAGTTTGTGGTCGAAAAAATCATCGGACAATTGATTGTTATTATAAACGTACAACCGGATGCTTTAATTGTGGTCAAAATCACAATGTCCGTGATTGTACATTACCTCCGAATTTTCAATAACTGGGTCACATGATGGCGGTGTTCCCAGTAAATTTTTAAAGCCATCAACAATCACATCATTTCCTGTTTACATTAAAATTCATGTTAATAATCAACCAACGGAAGCAATTGTTGATACAGGATCCGCCATCTCCATTATTCATTCAAATTTTCTCAAAACTATTCATCACCAAAATTTTTTATACCAAACTCATTCATGTCAAACTGCAAATTCAACACCCCTTAATATTATTGGTCAAATACAACTAGAAATACGAATTAAATCTATCAAAACTTATGTTACTGCTCACGTTGCTACAAATTTAATTACATCAATTCTTTTAGGCAATGATTGGATAAATTCGAATCATGTTCACCTTTATGGTGACCAGAAAAAATTAACTATTCCTGATCAACATGATCAATTAATTTCAATTCCATATGTGGAACCAACATGCATTAATTATCCAGCATTATTAATTCAACAAATTACTCTTCCACCATATTCACAACAA